GTTTCCATGTCGTTTATCACTTTCCGACAGAATTTTTAATTTTTTATCTAAAATATGTTTTAGACAATAACTTAGATCCGTCAGATGTTATCTAAATAACTTATATCTGTTGGTAGGAAAGCTTAAACTACCCTACGGGTATATTAGGACACTAGAGGTGTAGTAAGTACTCGTTACCTCTACAGGTAGACAGGAGCTAGTTATTGTCTAAATAATAAAGAAACAGTCGTTTGTTGATTTATTTATGTGTTTATTTTTCAACTAACGTTATTATTGCAATGACTCTAAAAAAACATATTTCTAAAAAAAAATTAAGCGAAATTGCTAACAATAGATTTTCCTCTGCGAGCGATTTATTAATAAATTATCTAATTGCAGAAATGTAGTTTTAATATATTATGATTACTTTATAATTATCTAAAATAACCCAACACGCACGACGATATTTTTATTTTATCGCTGTGAATAGAAATATTAACGGCGCAGCTAACCACTGTTTTTGTATTGCTATTGGTGCGACACTATTTGTTTCTACTACTACAGTTATTTCCATCCGTTGTCGCGTACATGCAAATGTATTTATTATTATTGTGATATGTCGCCGCCGGATATGCGCAACGTACCTGTGCGACCGTAAAAAAAAAAAAAAAAANAAAAAAAAAAAAAAAAAAAATCATAACGGTTTATCTGAGAAGTCGTTTGGGGCAGTGGCAACGGTAGCGCGTCTCTTGAATGCATTGTTTTTTGCAATACGTGAAATATAATAGGCGCACACAATAGACCAGCAGAAATGTGCACAATGGTTTTATTATGCATGTGGTGGATTGCGTTTTGCACGGGATTCAGTTCGGTGAAAATTCATCGGATCCGAGTCGGTTACCTCGCCAAGATTACAGAGAACGCGTATTTACATGTGTTTTGTTGCAATGTGCGATGATACGAAGCCGAATTTGGGATAGATTTCAGCGCGTAAAACGACGTGTATTACTTTCGTTGCAGTGATTTTCCAACGTGGATTGTGTTGGCATTGTTTTAAATTCTTACCGTGTTAACGAACCTTCGAAAAATCGTATTGTTTTTGGCGCCACAGTTTGCCGTTCTCGAAAAGGATTCACCGCCGACCGGACGCTTCAAACAATTTAATAAAAACGTCTCCAAAAACGATCATCGGACGTGCCGCGTCGTTTTCCTTTGGTACACCGAGTGGCTTTGGTTTACGAGAGTCTCTACAAATTATGTTATTGAATTCAATCAAGACGTGTACATTAAAGACGTGTGTGTGTGTGTGTGTGTGTGTTTATTGTACCCCATCTCACCTCCCCCTCGTTCCAACGGCTGTGCGGCGCTCACGATCGAAATACCGCCAAAAACAGTTTTCGACATCACACCGCTAATCTTTATGTTGTTCGGCTATACAAATTTGATCGTTTTGCTTTCGATGAAATCACGAGCCTCTCTTGTTGAGCCCCAGAAACAAGTCACGTTGGAAATACATTCGTGCGATCCTACTCCGTCACATGCTAATTGGACTTTTAAGGTCGCTGAGGAATCAAAGCTTAATTGTTATGTAAACCGATTCGAGTGATGTACACTGCATTTATTCTGTCATGTGAAACGGTTTGTGTTCGACTCGACAATGTACAGATAACCGCCGCCAATGATATGAATTGACGCAGCTCATTTTGTACGCACTTCACGCAAATACCTCATGTATCTATTTTAGTGATCAATGACGCAAACGCCTTTGTCGATAATGCCGAGCTTATTTCTATAATTATAACGGCTATCGGATAGAATCAGTCGGAACGAACTGTCTCTCTCGAAATATTATGATATTTTTAACGTCGTCGAGCAAAACCATTAATATTAAAAGTTCTCGGTCTACGGTCGTTTATTATATGAAATTAAAATCTGTTTTATTAACATGCAAACTATTCATTTGCAGCAGTACTAACAAATCACGATAATAGACAATAGACCTCGCGACCATAATAGCAATTAGTTTCTATATTACTAAGGTTATTGTTATGCTATGTTAGCGAGTCACTTCTGATTTTTCAATAAAAATAAACTTTAATGCTACAAACAAGTATCAAAACGTTTTACTGAAATAGAAATGTATTGTTTGTCATAAAATTATATGTATATTTTAACAATGAACAAACGATTCTCAAGAGAACCAGTTTTACACAGTCACTCGTTGTAACAATACAACAAACACACGATTACATAATTAATCTAATAGGTCAATATAGTTGGTAATAACTAGAACGTAGTAATAATCGAATTGTTGTAGAAAACTTGTTAAGAAAACATTTTACTAGATATTTTTCGTTTTTTAATTGTGCTCAACCCAGAAATAATTAATATTATTTTTGATATATAAATATTTCAAGTGTTTACAAATAGGTAATTTTTTTTTTCTTCAAAAATCATGTCGCTATATTGAAAATGTGATCATTTTTTAAATGGAAATTTTGATTATTAACCCAAAAAATGATAAAAAGTTTATTTTATTTTAATGAGATGTGAAAATTCAGTTGAGATTTTTACAAAACGTAACGATTTTGTTGACTGATATTAAACCAAATTAATTTCACATGGTTTTGTATTATAATTTATAATTTGATTATTTTCCTTAAGAGATATTTCAATTAGATTTCCGTTAAATTCTCTTCTAATAAACTGTATTTAACTAATTTTGTTCGTTTATTAAAAAACAAAACAATTGTTTATTTTTTATAACACTGTAATACATTTGAATATCTACTGTTAATAGAGTTAAATTGTCTACTTTACTGTATGTTAAATTCCATAACGATTTAATGATTGGGCAACTTTTTAATAACTTTTGTATGGAGGAACTCGGAACATAAGACACAAATAAAGCTCAAAGCCATGAAACACATAGAATTTTAATTTGTAACATTTATCCATTTACATATAAATGATCAAATAGCACTCAATTTGAAGAGTTACTAGTCGGAATGAAGCTTCTCCGCTTTTTCTATTTTATTTTTTTACATTCCATTCTGTGTGTTAAAGTAACAGTTAAACATTTACAAAGATACTTACAATTTAAAACAGAACAACTATTTTTTACTTTTAACAGCCTGTCTTATTCTTAGTGAATGACTTTCAGGTATAATTAATATAGATGACCACCAATAGGAGGGCATCGGCCGTTATCTTAATTCTATATATTCGATTGTTCAATTATTCTCAAAATGGAGTCAATAAATGAATTTATTTGTGTATTTTTATTATTTTGGTTTTGACTATAATATTAAACTTAAAATTTTGGTCTTAAAGAGTTTAAAAGTACATTAAATTAGTTATCGTCAGTAATTACTTTAAATGTGAACTTACAAAATGTACAAAAACGTCGTCTATGTGTAGTTTTATTAATTTAGCACCTTATTTTGACAATGTGATATTCAAAACTGAATTTTAAAAAACATTTAATTACAAAATAATATAACGAGGTTATAAATATTGCATTAAAAACAAATAATAATAATAATTTTGTTGTTATTTAGTCTCTCTTTACCTTTTCATCGAGAAATTTAGATAAAATATTTTTTAAATGATTAGTTTAAATTAAATTATTGACAATAGTATGTAGACCGCGCACTTGTGCCGATTACTGTAGAGGACTCCCAAATATCTGTGTAATACTGGCACATTAAACATTTTTGTAGATAATTATTAGATAAGTTATTAGTAGTTAACGGTCGGTTTTTTATGGTTATAAGAAATAAATATGACAACAACACCGGGTCGTGTGTATAATTCCACACACACCAAGACAATCCCGGCAAATGGCACATAACTACAAACCTTAGACCTCATGTAAAACAGTGTTTTAGTATTATTGTTATTATTGGCATTTGAGGACTATTATTGCCCGTGTGGCAGTTCACCTCCTCGATAATGGAGGCGGCGTTCTTGGCCGAACATTACCCTCGTCGCCAACGTCGTCGATGACTGTACGCACACATACGCTCCGGTGTTATTGATGACCTTTTTGGTCCTTAAACAAAAACCCATTGTCTGGGACCACCCTGTCAGTCAGTATCCGTATTATACAGCGTTATGTATTATTATTATTATTGTGTATATAATATTGTATTATTTAGAATATCTTATGCGTGTGTTGTGAAAATCGTAGTCGTAGTATTATTAAGCGCATTATTATTTACTTACATATGTAAGTAAAACACATACGTGTTGAGTGTAACTTTTTATACTCTTGGTCGCCACTCTTTTCGGCTGGTCTTTACCCTCAGAAGATAGTCGAATGTTGCGTGGGCAACCGATGAAAAACAAGAACGTGACAGATTTGATGGCTGTAACCGGAGAGATTTCGACGGTTGCGGCAAGACGTTTGAGAGGCGGAGGAGCCTTTATAATTCAAACCGGAAACACGTTGTGAGGATAAGCCCACTGCAAAGTTTTGTTTATTCGCCAAATCGCCAGCCCTTTTGTTTAAAACTTATAACCATAATTAATAGCGTCACAATTTGTAGCCGAAGGGCGTTCCATCGCAATTGCTTAACATCATAACCTGACATAAATATCGCTTAGGCAAATTTATCAAACGTTATGTGAAAAATATAGTAAGACAATGAATTCAATAAATTATGTTAACAGTAAAATATTTTCCGAATTGTAAATAATAAATTTTATATTCCGAGTTCATAATGGTGAATCAGTTTAATGAAGTTATCAAACTGATATTATTGATTTTCAGCTTAAAAAAATTTTAGGTGGTAAGTCATAGAATCAATTTTTCACTCAAATGTTTTTAATAGAATTTTTGAAATTTTGTTATCATATTTTTTGATTGAGAGGTTTTAACAATTAAACGGTAGGATTGTGGATTAATTATGCAATATGAAGATATTTACTTAACTAATATTAGGCATGACATCATGCTACATTTTAAATTTAAATTCTACACTTATTGACATAAATACAAATGCTGTATCGTTAAAAATGTGATTTTTTAAGCATATAGTAATTTTATTTTATTTTCTTATGAAAATGACTGTGTGTAAAATATTTTATTTATTCGTACTTTGGTTAAATTTTTCCACAGCATTACAATACAAGGAATTAAATTGTAATTTTTCAAAGTACATTTTAAATTATTTTAAACACAACGAAAAGTACTTGCTAAAATTAAAAGAAGACAAAACAATTATTTCATATCGTGATTTAAAAACGTATGGACGAGCTATACAATCTCACGGTGAAATTGTTATTGCAATGTTAGAAGCTCTAAGATCAATAGAATGGGGAAATTATCCAGAAATTTTAATGGATATAAATTTATACTTGAATAATGTTTCAGGATCTGTAGAGTTGAATTTTAAAAATAAAAATGGTACGTTTGATCAATCAGATAAAAAGTTAAATTTACTAGAAGGATTTTTGATGATGCATAAAGCAATAGTAGAACGGTTGGCATATTATATAAGCAGTATATGTTCAGATGTATCTTTTGATGAAGTGTTTACGAATTGCCCAGAATTCAATGAAAAGAAAGATTATAGAATTAAATTTCTCCCGGGAGTTGTAGAAAAACTAAAAAATAGATTATCTATTAATGACGACTTGAGACTTAAAGACGAAAGATTCAAATTGGAACACAGTGAAGTATTTAGAATATTGGAATTAGCATTGGATAATGATTCTCGCTGGGATTTTCATCCAAAAAAATTGTTGTACTACGACATGATGATGGGACAGCAAGAAATTGACGAACGAAATCTCATGTCAGGTGTACAACATAGAAAATATTCAGAAATAAGAGATCAACGGCCAGTAAACGTTATAGATTATATTAGGTTTGCACCACTTCAATATAAGTGTCCCAATGAAACTTATTTAACACTTTCTGACATATTTCGTTACATAAAATACAATTTTGATTCGAAACAATTAGAAGGATTTCAAGAGCTAGTTCTAGCAACAACTTTTCGGTTAACCTTATTACTTGTCCGTATATATGTTACATTTTTTAGAAAGTTTCGTGGATATTATAAATGTAAAAAGGATAACATAGGTAATAATATACTAGATCAAATCAATGTCAACATTATAGAAACTTGTGCTATAATAATTAAACAGATTCAATATTTCAATAATCTAAATCTATTCGAATTAAAACCAAAAAACTTTTTAGATGATCTTTGTATTGACTTACAAAATTTTATTGCACACGATATATCACATAATTTATTTCATAATATGGTGAAAAAAATAACGACATTTTCGAAGAGCTTTTTGGATCATAATATATTACATAATTATTGTGGTATAATAGTAAGTGTTATACTGAATGATGATAATGTTGAACAAATCTATAATGCGTTCGCTCAACTTGTTAATGATAATTCAAAATATTTAATTGAATTGGAGAAATACAAGGAATCGTTTAATATAGTGAATAAAACTCGAAAAATACATTTCTTATACTTTGTACTTACTAGTAAAGAGATTTTGAATCCCAAATCAGCTATGATAAGTAAGTTCCAAATTTTCTAAACATTCTTTGAATGCTATTTTTAAAATTTAAAACCAGATATTACTAGGTAGTTTAGATTGAAAACACATATGCCAAAAATATACAAATTTGATTTATAAATATTTTTAAATAAAAAATTAATGTAAGTATTTATAAAAAGCCTATAATTCTTTCGAGTTTTACGTATATTTTTTTAAAATATCATTATTGTTATGATTAATATTTACTATATAAACATTAAAAATATAAATCTACATAAATTAATCATCAATATTTTGTGACACAGTCTCAACTATAATGAAATACGAAAGCAAATTTATATTAAAAGTTTAACTAATTTTTTTTTTTTTTAAATTACCATTAATACTCGATTTTATTTATTCCTAAAATCATCATGTTAAACTAGTCCCAACGTTTGTAAATTATACAACTCTATTAAAATTATGACATTCCATTAAATTAATTTCAATGATGTTAATTTTAGCTTACATGCGAAGCTAAGAAGGTATAAATTTAGTGTGATTTATGTCTGTCGCCACTTTTTCTCAGCTCTTACCTAACCGATTTATTTTAACGGTTCGTCAAAAGATCACAAATCGTATCTAGTTGGAGACATTTCCATAAAAAATTGAACAAATTTCCTTTGTTTTCTGTAAATGGTTTGGTTGGATTTTTTTTTTAATCTGTCTTAACTTTTTGAAAAATAAAATTATCAAAACTATTTTTTTTCATATAAATATAAGATATTTCTCTTTCTTTTGATACATTTTTTTTGAAAATCTGAATTTTTACTTGTCAACAGAGGAGGATTCAAAATAGCAACTTTTCTAAGAAATGTTAACTTTTTTAACTTTACTTTTGAAAATGATCTGAAAATACTTCAAGCTTTAAACATATGTTACATTTAATAATATAAGTTAATGTTAAGTACTATAAGTTAAAAAAGTATTTTGTCCCGACACCTTATCTTTTATTTGCATATGGCAGCAATAGTTAAAAAACAAACTACTCTTCTATTAAATTTTTTTTTTTTATTTTATTTTTTTAATTCTAAAATGCCATAACTTATTGGAAAATGTATGTAACAATATAGTTCTTTTGTAAAAAGTATATAAATATCCCTGTAATACGACATACTTTTTTACTTCGGTTTAAAATACCATATAAACAGAAGACTACGGTGATATTCATAGATTTATATACATTTTATGTGGATAAAATTTACATTAAATGATTCATATGTATAATACAAGAATAAATACTTCTTATAGTAATTATACTTAGTATGAAATAGGTATTAAATAATTTAGTAATGTAAATTTTACAGAGAAAAAGTTAAAAAGTTGTTATATACGGAATGATTCTTTAATACTAGCTACTCGATTTAAGAGAAATATATAAAATTTTAAAAATACCAAAAAGAATTTTATTAATATAATTATTATTAAAACTAAAATCAAGTGGCTAATATTAAAAAAATTACTCTGTATACAACAAATTTTTAACTTTTTATAATTTCTCAGAAAAATTTACAATACTAAATTATTTAATATCAATTTCATACTAAATTTAATTACTTTAATAAATGTTTATTTAGATATTATACTAAAAATCATAAAATTTGTAAACAGGCTATAAAAAGGAAATAGGATACATGTTGCTTTTCGAATAATTTAATAATTTCTTTTAAAAATTAAACAGTATCTACAGATTTTCATCAGAGCGTTTTTTATGGTAGTATTTTAATCACTGTCAGATATTATCTGACAAAGCTGCGACACTCTGTGCTAGGTTGGGTTTTTTTATTATTAAGTGTTTACTATGTAATTTTTGTAAATTACCAGTTATTAATTATTTCAAAAACTAAATATGTTGAACAAATGTAAAGCTAAAATGTCATGTATATTTTTCTTAGATTTTAAAGAAAATTACTTATATATAATACTTAATATAATAACTTATATTGTTATAATTATAGAATATTTTTATATTGCAGAGATGTACAAATTATTATAACATTTATTTTTAATTATTTTTAAGATCGTTTATGCAGTTCTAATATATACACAGAAATATATAATATGGAAAGTCCTGAACCTGACGATTATAAAAATACTAGAATTTACATCCAAAATCAACAAAATAGACAAGATGCTCAAGTTTCGTTAAAACATATTCCACTTCCAAAATATATGATCGATTACATACTTTTTTTTTAATTTTCATTATTAAGTTTGGTTGTATTTTGTTTAATAATTTCTTTGTTAATCAATCGTATATATTTATAAAAATCTATGTTATTTCAGGGTAAATGTTAATTAGTAACTTAAATAAATTAAATTATATTAATTTTCAGTTAATATAATAAAATAAAAAAAAATATACACTGTGATTTATTAAGTACACTACTATAAATTTCGTTTTCTTTAGTCCTTTTCTCAATACATATTTCAATGTTTAAAACCATTCTTATTATCCAAAATGTTCAACAATACGAAATTTAATTATTCATAACTCTATCACAATATAGATATATAACTATCTATATTAAATATTGTTAGTATAAGTCAACATAGTTTATTACAGTGTAGTTAATTTCAAAAATTTAAAAAAATAAATTGACGAAATTTTGTGATTTGGGATTTTAAACTCAAATAGCTTATTGTCTCTGTCATATTCCATTAAAGTTTCATTAGGATCCATTTTTATTCTGAAAGAGTTATAGCAAAACGAAAAAAAGTGACGATTTTTTACAACAATATTGCTTTTGGCTTTAAAAATCAAATAACTCATAGAAAAAATATCGTCACAAAGTTTTTATTTTTTTTTTTCATCATAAATTACTCTTAAAAAGATTTAATTTGATATAAATTTGAACTCCACAAACGTTTAAGAACATTTTCAAAGATTGAGTTAAAAAAAAAATTGTTTTGTATATGTTGGTGGTGTGTTGCAAACTTTTCCTGTAGTTCGGTCTTTCTTAAAAAGCATATCAAAACAAACCTTACTGTCACTAGTATATTCTATTAATAGTTTATTAGTATCAATATATTAAAAAAAAGTTATAGCAGTTTCAAAATGCAAAACATTTTTTTTAATGCCGTTTTTACTGTAACGTATTTTGAGTTTATTTTTATTTTTTAAAAATGAAGGGGTTTTTTAATTTTTGATGGTAATAGGTTTAGTTTAAAATCGCATTATTTTGACCCATAAAGTAACAAAATCAATTCTGTGAAAGCTGAGAATTTTCCGACAAAAAAACATACCTTCTTTGCTTTGCTTCAAAGCTAAAAATTACCTGAGATCCGAAATTTGGCATATTGAATTTAACATTCTAAGTGCAAACATTTAATTTATTAAAAAATAGTTTTAAATTGAGCTATACTTAAAAGTATTAATTTAAACGTCTATTGAATATTTAATTGATGTGAATAATAAAGTTAATTGTGTTTATAGCTTATGTTGAGTATTAACGTTCCGCGACAACGTAATTAAACATTTTATAAGTTGGTCGTGTGTTTTATGGCAATCTTTTGATATTATTAATTAATCCACGGTAATAAATTAAGCTTTATGTATACTCATACAGATTTGTATGAGTATATTTTAAAGCAATAAACATTTTAAAATATTCGGTGCGCTTTAATTTGCCGATATATTATTCATTTTTTACTACACAACACTTATTAGTAACAACCTGTAGAGTTTTTGTAAGTTCAACGAAAAATCAATAACATCGTATCAAAAGAATTAATGTTATTTAAGTATGTTTAAAATTCGTTTTTTGTGCATTGTGACCCTAATTGTAACCAAGTTATTTATGCCAAACATTTCATCGATTCAAAGTCCTACATAGTTGTAGTGTTTAGGTATGTACATATTACTACCAACTCAATCTCGGGTCATATAAATTTTATCGCTCCACAATGAAAAAGGGTGATTTATGTGTGAATCAAAACTATTCTCTATTTCGTATTTCATTTGCGGCCTTGGATTACACACGACAATTGTGCACACATCAATTTCAGTTACAGTAAACAAAATTGAGTAGGTTAAGTTGAGTACTGAAAGAACATATAATAATGCGTCACTCATATGGATTTTTTGAATGAAAACAATGTCTTCAAATTATGTCATCCGACCAATCGTATTTTTATCTGTATAGGTTTATGTTCCAAAGATTAGTGTGGGCGTCTTGTGTGTTGCGTGCGACAATTTACAAGAACAAATAGTCGGTGTGAAATCAGTAAAACGTAATAATAAAAAATTTCATTTCTTTAAACTGAATTATTTAGTTTTTAATAGAATTGATTGTTATAACAATATAACTCTTAGGGTTAGAAGTTGTAACTTTAATTAAAGTATCTCTAAGTTACACGATTTAAAAACAAAATTATTTAAAAACAAAATTATTTAAAAAATAAATTATTTTTTTTGGTTGATACATTAATTGGTACATTCATCTTATCCTACACCGGCTAAATGTCTTCTTAATTTCTTACCCATATAACAATTTTAAACTCTTATAATCTTACAAAAATTTTAACTGTTAATAACGTCATTATGATAATATTTCTAGATAGTTCTTTCTCGCAGTATAGTGTAGTATAGTAGTAGTGTTTCCAGAATATAATAGTTTTTATAAGGTTAAGCATGACATTTTTTTTATCGTAATTCATTCAATTTTCTGGAATTATTTTACTTTTATTAATTTTTAATTATTACATACATTATATTTTCATGCTTTTCTAAAAACAATACAATTTTTATACTACTCTTTAATCGTATTAATGATTTAAAATTTTTTATGTTTCACGTATAATTGATATTATAAAAATATAAATAATACACGATTGTTATTTGGATAGCATAACTACCAAATTTTTGGTCGTTAGTTTTTTTTTACTTCAATAAAAACGGATGGAGAATAGTACATTCATAAGACTTTTTAAAAATTTACATTTTTGGAATTGCCCAGTATACATAAAAAATATGATACAATCGAATTTTTCCAAGCATTTTGCTATGCTGCGGTATTACATGAGAGTGTAACGACGCACATGTTCAGTGCAGCTCAAGGAAATCCTTGTTTTCTTGCATTGTTTAAAATTCGGTGAAAGTTGTAACAATGGACCAGTGAAATACATATTAACCGTTGGATCCGTGGACGTGGTTCATTTAATTGCATAGGTTAAAAAATGATACATTCAACGTAGTACAGAAATCACTTGGCTCGCCGCGTATCAGTCGAACACTGAACAATTATCTCACACTTACTCACTATACACCAAAATAATAAAAACAATAATAAATAAAAATAATAAAAATAATGTAATTTTTATTACATATTGTTTATTTTTATGCATTAACCGCGTTATTACCGGGTAATTATGTCAGAAGGTAAACGTTTTAATGGAACAATGTGTCATTATTATTTTAAGTTTTTATATTAGTGTGTGTATTCACTATACACTTTTTCATAGCAGAAATTATACAGAATGATTTATTAAACATATTACCCTCCTCCCCATATTTTCGTTAAAGTATGTTTTACATTTATAAAAATGTATAGATTAAAATTCATTTTATTCTTAATACCATTGTAAATATAAAGCTTATTGTAAAAAAAAAATATTCTTTAGGGTAGATTTTAGGGATAACTTTCGAAAGTTATCTTTTTTAAAAAACCCTTTGTTATTATTTTATCTTACTGTTTCCTTATTATTTTATCTTTAATGTTACATGGAGAATGGTCTAAATAATATTTTGACAGGTTGACATTGTATTACTACTTTTGAGCTGTTATAGGAGAGCGGAGTACGCAACGTAGAAGAACTGTGCGTTATGGTAAAAATAAAACGTCGCCAAACACTACCCTGCACCTTACCTTTTCTCATTCTTCATTTGCTAATGCCTCAAAAAGTAACAACATAAAACTGATTATCGACGACCACTCAAAGTTTTATTTAAATCACTTAAACTCATCAATTTAACGAAAAAATGGGGGTAGTATGGTCAATAAATCACAATGTATAATAGAAAGTCAATTACTATTTTATAACTATTTTATTTAATTTATAACTAAATTCTAATGGTCTGATCCTATGCATGTTATCTTTTAAAAAATTATGTTAACACACTTATAATATATGAGGGATGAAAATAAAAATACTTCATGATTGATAAAATAAAAAAAACATATACCAAAAGGAGACCAAAAAAAAAGAATTCTCATTTTTATATTTATTTTACATTAACTAAGTAGTTTATGATAATTTAATTACCCTGTATATTTTAAATACATACTAATACATAAAAAGTTACTCATTTATTTATGCTTGTAATCAACATAACCACTTGAAAATTAATAATTTTTCTATTAACTTTCATAAGGCATTATGAGCTTTTATTTTTATTGAATCTGTTATTATACTTGGCATACAATACTAAAAGGTTTGATGATTTTTTTTCATTTTTTTACTAAATACTTTTTCGGGTAATTTTCAACTACGTAACATGAACTCTGATTTTTTTCAGTTAAACTAAAATTTCTATGAGCAAAATAATTATTACTTATAATTAAATCGAAATAATAAGACTTGAAGTGCTGCTAATTAATTAAAGTAAAAAGATGAATAAGGTTTTTTCTGTGGTGTTATAATTAATTTTTGTTTTAGTTAAGTGACGAATTTTCAAGAATAAAAATGTTAATACCGTTTTATTTTTAATTTACCTAATATTTGTTGTAATAATTTCATTTTATTATTTGTCATGTTTTTTTCTTTTCCAAACAAATAATGATAATAATAATAATTTATAAATAATATTAAAAGGACGTTTGTTTGCTAATATCAAAAAACTGTACTCGAAAAGTTATTTATGATCTGAAGAACACATTGCAATACTTAATGAAACAATCAATATTTCACTAGATATACATACATTGTTTATATGTTGTATATTTAGTAGCAACATTATCAAAACTTTAGGACGGAAATCGTATTCAGATTTGTACTTTTTTACAAGTTTTTGTAGGAAGAAGTAAAATAGTTCAACTTAAAGCCATTAAGTGAATTGCTTTTTATCGATTTATAATAAATTTCAATAATGTGTAATGTCATAAGTATATTTTTTATTTTGAATATTTGTATGAATCACAGAAAATGATGAAAGTTATATAATATATTGTAAATATATTTTCTTATAAAAAAAAAGTAGAGTTTATATTATGTATATGATTTAATTCTCTCGCTAGTGAAACAAAAGTATAATAACAAAGTGGTTACGAATGGTAAATATTTCTCAGGCATTCAACAAGTTCAGTTTTTCAGAATATAATACAACTACAAAAACCGAGACTTTAAGCCACTAACGACATTTTAGGCGTTTTCGTTTAAT